CCACCTCGTCTACATCAAGACCCCGAGACTTTCCTCTTCACAGACAAGCTCGACCTTCTTCAAACGCCGTCAAGAGAACGCATCTCGCAATTCCTTGTCATCCCTCCATATCAGGGCCAATCGCTTGGAAGCCGGCTTTACGACACTATTTTCCACGATCTAGTATCCAAGCCCTTCATCTACGAGATTCCCGTAGAGGATCCTAGTGAGGCGTTCGATGCAATGCGGGACTACAGCGATATTACGTATCTTCGCACTTTGCCCGCATTCCAGAACCTGTCGGTCGCTTCAAATCTGCCCCCAGAATCCTTGAGGAAAGACTCGCCTATCCCGCGAGACCAAATTCTTGGCAACGGAACGGATCTCGAAGAACTCCGAAAGGAAACAAAGATTGTGAGCAGGCAATTCTACAGAATGGTTGAGCTGCATCTGTTATCGACTATTCCTCCGAACCACCGCAGTCGATCACGCATTACACGCAAAGCGAAATCGAGCAATGAAAACGATAGAAGATACTACTTCTGGCGTCTAGCCCTGAAGCACCGTATTTACAGCCAAAATGCCGACGCTTTGGATCAGATGGAGGATACTGCCGAGCGCGTTGAGAAGCTAGAGTCTGCAGTCGACAGTCAGCAGGAGGAATTTGAGGAGCGTCTAGAGGGCCTTGAGAAGCGCCAAAACCTGGCAGCTGATACCACATCTGCCTTGCCAGCTGGCGCGAGGGATAAGAGGAAACGAGCAGTTGTGCTTGAGGATGACGAGGACGACGAGTGGGAGGATATGGAAGAGGCGTCTGTTGCAAGCTCAAAGAGGATGAGGTCGTAAAGAGTTGATCTGATGCTAGGAGTTGAGCTATGGTACCTGGTGTCTTGGACATGATTCGAACCCATTGAGGAAATCTCAGACTAGAATAGTGATTAATGACTTGGGCAGCATGCCCCTCTATATCGCTCTTTCACAAGTGCTCCCAAATACGGCAGACCATACGTCCGGCGATTGCAGGCTAATCTCCGCGCGGGGCAACCTAGTACCCCACGCCCAAATTTTGGGAGACTAAACATTCACACGACCAGCATCACAACTTAGAAGATATACGAATAACACCGCTATTCAAGGGTCACATAATCCCACCTCCACAATGCCAGACCGACAATTCAACCTTACCGTCCTCATCTCAGGCAATGGCTCCAACCTGCAAGCCCTCATCGACGCATGCGCATCTGGAGCACTGCCAAACACTCGCATAACACACGTCATATCAAAGTAGGATGGCTTGTGTGTTTGCAAAGTCAAGCCTGGCTAACATGCATTCGCAGCCGTAAAGCAGCATACGGCCTCGAACGTGCCGCCAAAGCCTCAATACCAACAACATACCACAACCTCGTTCCATACAAGAAGAAGCACCCAGACGCTATTGACACGGCCCGCGAACAATACGACGCCGACCTTGCGAAAATCATTCTCGACTCGAAACCGCGCCCCGACCTCATTGTATGCGCGGGTTGGATGCACATTGTCACTCCGTCTTTCCTCACCCCCATCGCCGCCGCCAACATCAAAATCATAAACCTGCACCCTGCACTGCCCGGCGAGTTTGCCGGAGCGGGCGCTATCGAGCGGGCGTGGAAAGCTGGAAAAGAGGAGGGGCTGAAGAGAACAGGCGTTATGATTCACGAGGTAATTGCCGAGGTGGACGCTGGCGAGCCAGTGTTAACAAAAGAAGTGGAGCTGAAGGAAGGGGAGAGTTTGGAGGCGTTGGAAGAGAGAATTCATGCTGTGGAGCATGGGGCTATTGTGGAGGGGACGAGAAAAACGCTGGAGAAGATTGGTCGGGGAGAGTGAAGGGAAGATTATGGGATGGATGTATGATACCCAAGATGTGAAATGTTAGGATGAAAATATATCATGACAATTCAGTGAAGGAACTTTGGGGAGTTGATGCCGAAGAAGCTTCCCGCATTTAGCAACATCCAGCTCGCCTCTTCCACGGCAAGACTCGTGGTCCGATACTCTCTATATGTAAGCATAGAGTACCTCCATCCCACTACTACCTACACTCGGCCTGGCCCTAACCTTACCCCTGCCTACTCTTGGGTATCCCCGTATGCATTTGCCATCCTACTTCTAATCATTTCTGCCTTCGCCACTGATCGGGGGAGCACATCACAGGTAAATTCCTTCGGTGCCAGCTCGATTCCCGGCTTTAGTTGTCAATAAGCGTCAGCATTGTATACCATTCGATTGGATCTCATGTCACTTACTCTTTCATATGAATCGAGATCATACCCACCGGTCCCTGAATCATCCTTCTCGAATTCAAATGCCCAAAGGAAGCTCATTATGGTCAGTGCCATGTTTTGGCGTGCCAGTGCCTCTCCTGGGCATGCTCGGCGACCAGCTCCGAATGTAAAGTTGTTCCGAAACCCTGTCGTGTCGACGCCCGGTTTCGTGCCAAACTCCGTCTCAAGGAATCTTTCAGGTCTGAATTCCTCTGGGTGGTCGAAGAAATCTGGGTCATGGGAGATACCATGCACATTCAGGAATATTGTGGAATCTTTGGGGATACGATAACCTTTGTAAAACACTTCTGCGGTACTAACATGGGGAATAGCAACTGGGGCTGACGGTTTGTATCGGATGACTTCGTCGACGATGGCGCGAATATATGGGACATTTTCGTAGTCTTTCAGCCTTGGCCAGCGGTCAGGACCTACAACTGTATCTATCTCTTCTCGCGCTTTTCTCTGAACTTCAGGGTAGTTGATCAGTGCAATGATAAAGGAGTGAATAAAAGTTGCAGTTGTTTTCACTCCAGCGTCCATCAAAACCGCGCCTATGCCAATGATTTCGTCTCGAGTCATGCCAGATTTGGCCTGATCCGATACCAGTGATTCCATGTAACATCCTGTAGAATTCTTGCTCTCGACTGCCAGCTCGCATTGCGCAAATAGGGAACCATATAGCTCATCCCTAACGGCACGCGCTTTGTCCGCGAGCCGTTTCCAATATGCCCATCGCTTAGGTACGTATTGAAGTGGCCAGAAAAGATCGATTGGAGGGTGTGCGCCAGGGTCCAGGGATTCGCTAAGAAGTTTAATTCCCAGGAAGTATTTCTCTGCAGCCGAGCCTTCATATTTGGCTACACGTACGCCATAGACGTTCGTAAGTATAACCGATGCTGTTGTGCGGTAAACGTGGCGGTAGAAGTTCTTTGGATCTTCTAACATATCGTACATGCATTGCGAGATTTCGTCTTCTTGAGTTTTCAAATCTTTCTCAAGGCTGTCCCTGGTAAGAAAGTTGCGTACAAGTTGACTGCCACGCTTCCAAACTGGGTTTTCCATGTTTTCTAGGAACATATTCTGGCCCCTTGTTACACGGTGGGCGATCTTGGATTGGGGTCGATTTCCAGTACGAGCGCCATTGGTTTCGAGTACATGTTTCACAGCTATTGGTGAAGAGATGACGATTATAGTACGATTAAATATCTTAAGTGAAAAGATATCGCCATACTGTCGTGTCCATTCCAGAAACCTAAGACTGTGAGCTCGAAAACCCTCTTGGCAAAGATCAATACATACTTAATGTGAGGAAAACTAGTCGGGAAATCCAGAGCGTTCCCCAGAATAAGCGTCATATGTGGGCCTGGTGGCATATCTTTGTCACGGGCTCCCACATTGCGAAGCTTGAGAATCAACGACACTAGAAGCACAATTGCGATGCCTCCCAGTGGAATGGGAGGCAAGCTAGAGTTCAACTCAGCAAACACAGAGAGAAGTGTCATTGTCGCTGTTGGAGAGAGTAAGCATGACGGTCGCTGGACATGACACGATTCCTGTTCTCCAATATTCTTGGTTTGATTAGTCAGAATAAGGAAGGTAGCATACAGAATAGAAATAGGCATAGCTCAAGAATCCTTTCAAGTGGTACTACCTCTTGGAACCTAAATAGCCGGATAAAAGGCACGCCAAACATCAGCCCAAATCACGGCGAATGTCACCATAAACAGTGTTGTAAAACCCGTAAAGTATGAGAAGTTTTCCTACTTGTATAATGATTTATTGACTTAACTACAATAGCTAAGTAGTGTGTGGTGTGGGCGTTATTAAGGAGTCGCGCTGTTGTGGTAGGGGCACTTTTTGTCCAGCGATTTCAGTTCCCCAAGAGACTACAAGTTTCTGTAAGGATAGAGCATTTCGTTTTCTGTTCTTTCCTGGATCTTCTATTTAATCATTTCTATCAAAATCATCATTGCAAGTGCCGACAATACTGCAGTTGTTTGCTGGAAGCTTAGTACGACACTATACCATGGGTTGTTGTTGACTCGAATGCTCGCGCAGTTCCCTTTTTGTTTTCCTGCAGTTCTCAACTGTCCTTTCTAGCTACTCACAGTATCAGACTGGGGAACAGTTCATCTGCCAAGTCGTATGACCGCTTCTTGGTTGAATTGCTTCATTGAATTAACTCAAAATCGCAGTTAGCTAGAGGATTTCCAATCAAGATATAAAATCTTAAGCTCGCTGGGTTCATCCGTATATTGGATCACGTCAGTGTGTAACCTTTGTGCTGTAATGTTTTGGCAATTCTGATCGATAAGATCACGTGATAGACAAAACAGTCCTGTTGCAGGCGCCCATTGATCAATCAATCCAAATCTAAAGTCCCCGAAGGATGGATTCTTTGCTTCCAAGTCTGTAGAATAAGCACTGCACTTCCTTAGAGAATTAGCAAATTAATATGAGTGTTCATCTGCTATATGTATAAAGTCCGATCTCTGTGACTTATATCACTTTGCGATCATATAGTGTGGATGTTCTCATCTTATTACTTAAGCTCTTCTATCAATAATGTCACTTCCATCTGGAATCTGTTGCCCCCAGGGATGCCCCTTTCATGAATCAGTCCTTCTCAAACTCCCTGATTTACTTCCACTGTCATTGTTGAGAGGGACAGACCAAGAATGGCCATGCACATCTGTTGCCCATCCTCTTGAGAAAAGAATGGAGATTGAATCTCTCGATTTGATCAGAAGCTTCAAGAGCATGTCTGAGAAGAATATGGAAAATTTCGCCAGATACGGGATCATGACACTGACTGCTTGGGCTTACAGACGCTCTGATGCAGATCATTTCAGGCTTGTCTCAGATCTGATGCACTTCTTCTGGATTATTGACGATTTCACTGATAACCAATCACTGCTCGAGAATGAAAGTCAGGTTGCGAACTTGAAGCGCATCCTAGTAGATCCTACCTATACATCATCGGATGATGGAGTTCTGGAGAACATGTGTAGATCGTGAGTCTACGCAACGATCATTACTTTGATCTACTAACATTCGATTAGATGGTGGAACAATGTCCTAGAAATACTCGAGCCTCCTTCCACCACGAAGGATCTGTTCGTGCGCCATTTTATATGCTATCTTGATTCGGTTGTGGAAGAAACACAAGATCGTGAGACAGGCCGTCTGCGCAGTCGTACCGAGCATTTCGATATCCGTCGACGTAATCTTGGGATGGTGCCTTCAATGGACTTTGTTTGCATCCGATTTCATCTTTCAGATGATATGATCAACCACGAAGTCATTCAGAGGATGACAATCACTACCACTGACCTTATCGGGATTGCCAACGACATTTATAGTTACAATGTTGAGCAGGTCAGTGGCCAGAAAAGCGTCGCTTGTAATCTTGTCGATGTTGTACTGCGTGAAAGAGGAAGAGGTGTGCAAGATACAATGGATGTCATGGGAAAGATGTATCGCAATCTCTTTCTTTCCCTTATCGATGACTACAATCATCTCCCGACATTTCAAGATACCGAGCAAGATCGAGTGCTCAAAGAATACGCACTAGGCATGTTGGATAGGGTTGAGGCCAACGTGGAATTTTCGCTTGGTAGTCAGAGATACTTTGGATTAGAAGCTGGTTTGGAAAGGACAAGGGTTGAACGTATGGTTAAGCTCTTGCCACATAGGGGATATGTTACTGTATGAACTAGTGTAGTCCTCGCATAATCAGATTAAGAATCTGAATTTCTCTCTATGCCCTTCAAATTTTTGACAGTGTCATTGGAAGTAATAATACTGATTTAGTAGCGTTATTCGGCGAACTCCATCATCCATAGCGCCCAATGACGTCACTAACAACCCGCGCAAACATCTCTTCGCAAACATCCTCTCTATTACAATTGCTATCCTTAAACAAACCACCACCATGTCATCCATAGCCTCTGATCCAGACAAAGAGATAGATGCGCGCTCCATCTCTGCGCTCGCATCAACCCGGCGTAATCTACGATACCTATACGACCCCAAAACCGCCCCCAACGTCGTTTCTTCGCGGCGCACACGCGCACTCCTACGGGTCCTACGATCAAGCATAATTTTTGTTTTCTGGCGAATAGTCCGATATGCCAAGTACGTTGCGATTGGGTCTCTAGTGGCAACGGTGGGCGCAGGGGCTTTTGGCACGTTTGTTAGTGGTGCGGGGTTTGTGCTTGCGCCTACGGGGATTGCGGGCACAATTTTTGCTGCAACAGTATGGGGAGTGGGTCGGTATGCAGTTGGGAAGGTAAAAAAGAGGTGGGGGGTGGGCAGGGGTTATGAGGATGAGGAGGAGGAAGAGGAGTTGCGGGAGATGAGGAGGAAAAGAACGGATGCGAGGATGGAATATGGCGCAGAGGCTATGCCTTGGTAATGAAAGTCCTTCAGTTGTTAAGAGGGTGTTAGAGGTTGTTGGCTTGTCGGAGTGGTTTGTATGCTACAGTCCCTTGCCTGTGGACAAATCTGAGATACGGCATTGGACACTTAATCACAGCACCTCTTGTCACTGTCGCATACGAATCGTCGGCACCTTCGAGGCATATGCACTCATGTTTCTTATTTCCTTGTCAAGAAAAGGGGAAGGACGAAAACGGAATAGAGACACTCGAGAAATGCAGCATGGTGGCCAAAAGCGTCTATGGATACCAAGAAGAGTAACCGAAATGTACGTTTCATTCATCACGAGAATATTGTATCAGAAAGTCTGGAGGTCCGCAAACTGGTGGTGGACAGGTCATCAAACCGAAACAAGCCAGACATGAGAATAACCAGTGGTTGAAAATGACAGCGTCAACGACGAAGCGCTGTGCACATGGGTATGCTCGTAGCCGCCCACCTGACATTTCAATTTGTAAACATCTTACAAGCTGTGTTTTCAGTATACCCGTTGTTCAAAGATGGTTGTACACCAAATCAACAAAATCAACTAAGCTATATTCTCATTTGTGTAAATATTGATTATTTTTATTCTAATACCTAACTTAATACCAACAAAGTCATTTGCACAACACACAAACCCTTGATCCATGCACACCCTGTCACCCGACATCAGTCCTCTATCCACACCGCCATGTGACCAAACATAAAGTATGACACGTTAATTCCCCCCCCCCCACGTCCCAAACAAACCCTCCCGGACTTAGAATAAAGAGCCCAGATTTAATAAGGTAACATGCGATAAATTAACTCCCTTGCCAACTCTAATCCCCCAAGCCTGGCGCCCAGCCCCCAATCGCTTGACACGAAAAAACTCAAATCATAACATTTTGCATTTGGCGACCAACACCACACATCCCTGGTAATAACGGCTTTGTAATAATTAACAAGGTAACATTAATCTAATTTCAACCCTCACAACTCCTGATAGCCCTGACTCCACCTCCCACCCCCCTTTATTCCATAGACCTAGCCACATGAACACACGAAATAACGATGTTGTAAAAAAAAGCAAACATTTCATTCCGGCTACGCCCTTCCCTCCCCCTTCGTGCGCACACCTTTACATACACGAATGCAATCCATACATATTTCCATAGTTGAATTTTTTTCTCTCCTTGTAAATTAGTAATGAAAAATAAAAGACCAAAACTCCCCACCCACCTCGTTCATAACTGTTGCAAAAAATAACCTCCGCAACTAACATCCCATTTAATTGCCACCCCAACAGCGACAAAAAGAAAGAAAGATGAGGGGGTTTGCTATAAGTAAACTTATGGCTATAGATGTAAAATATAGAGAAGGAAACTTGCTTGCCAAGTTTGATTTTGCAACACAAATGAAAAAAACGCCCTTACAGATGCAAAAGCCAAAAAATTAGAGAATTCGACAAAAAGCGAAAAAAATAAAATCGATCCGGGAGGGGATCGAGCCTATTGAGTTATCTTCATGGTATCTGAACAAAATAATGAGAAAAAAAAAGTTGAAAAATAGTAAGAAAGGTAAATAAAGGTGGAACGTTAGAAAACAACACTTTCGGTTGAAATATGTGTGGACATGGAGGTTTGGGGGAAGGAACCGCTTCATGTACATTTTTTTTGTGGTTGAACAACAAACAGGCGCCATTTTTTTCTCTTTATGTGTGTGTGTGTGTGTGCTCGTCATCGTAATCATAACCACCACCACATGAGAAGGGGGGTATATAATTGTGTCTGTGTGTCTGTGTGCTCAGGTATTCTGAGTATGATGCCGCCAAGAGGTGGGCTTGATTCTCGAGTCAAGGACCGCCTGCAAATGCAAATCCCAGCTCTGAGCCATTTGCACGTCTCTCCGAAGAGAGCTGGATGCTTCGCTCGTACATGCCCTTTGTTTGTTGTTCCTGTTTGCGGCGGCGGCGTGAGTGACGCTGTAGTGTAGGACTAAAGTGTTTTTTTACTGCTCCGATGATGCTTCACCGTTTCTTCCATACCGATTACGGATCTGTTACATCGTCCATAGTCACGTCACCGGCGCTTGTGTCTTGTACCAACGGCGAGGTTGCAGGGAGAATGGCAGACCGTGGGCGGTTATAGTCGACTTCGAGACGATCAGGCATACTCGCTGGGGTAGATGATCGCGAGTCGTAATCTTCTTCGGCGGGTGGTGAAAAGTCCCATACCTAGTCAGCCTTGTTAGTATCATAAAGTCATGTCCAATGTTTTCGGCTAGCTCACCTCCATGATGGTTCGACCGCCCCGACTAGCCATAATGACAGCCTTCTCTTCCTCAAATACCACCCTCCAGACAGCCTCTGCAGGACTGCTCAACTCTCGCACAGGAACCCCGGTCTTGAGATCCCAGACCTTGACACGGCCATCGCTACCACCACTGACAATTCTCGTATTGTCAAACTGCAGACTTGTGACGCTGTTGTCGTGCGCGGCTAATCGGTGAATAGCCTGGTAGGTTGCAAGGCTCCACACACGGACCGATCCGTCTGATCCACCAGTCACAAGGATATCATCACGCATTTGAAGCTGTCCAACAAGCGAGGTATGGCCCTGTAGTACAGCAAGACATTTACTGCACGGGAATATTAGTCTCCAATCATATCGTGACACAGAATCGGACTTACCCATCATTGGGATCCCATATCCGGACGCTGGTGTCCAGACTTCCTGTTGCAATCTTCTTGCCGTCAAAGGCAATGGCATAAATCTGGCTAAAATGTCCGGTCAACGTGCGGAGGCACTTGCCCTCTGATATGCTCCAAATCTTAGCTGTAGTGTCATAGCTCCCGGACACAACAATGTCACCGTGTATCTCGAGACACCGGACGCTGGCTTGGTGGCCAATAAGTACGTGCTTGCACAGTCCCTTCTTCAGGTCCCAGATGCGCAGTGTGGTGTCCCTGGATCCGGAAATGGCCGTGTTGGCATCGGACATCTTCAGACATCGCACTGTTGACGTGTGACCACGGAGGGTGAATTGTGGGAAACTGTGTATGCGGGTTAGTGACTGGTATTAGTTGAAGCGCAGAGACCGTACCCAGTTGCAAGATTCCAGACGCGCACATCGCGGTCGCATCCTCCACTGACCAGGAGATCACCCCACGGCACCATTGCCCACACGCCCATGACGTGTCCTTGGAGCGTCTTTTGGTGGTCGCCAACGGTATCGAATACGTGTATCTTGGCATTGTCAAGCGCAACGACAATGTACTTGTTAGTCAGATGTAAGCTGGTCACCACGCCCTGGTCCGGGGTGATCTGTCGCGCGTCACAAACTCCGCCATTGCGCCACGCAGTTTCCACCATGTATCGCTGCTTGAAATGTGATCGATATGTGGTGGCCTGCTGCTTTCGTTGAGATGGTTTCCTCTTAGCTGCACGGTCGAGGCTTTGCGTTCGCAGTCCTTCGGGACTACTATTCGAGGGTCCGACTTCAAGGTGGTCGCGTGCTGATGATGCATCATCCAGCCTGGCCGTGCGCTCATCATCGTGCCACCACGGCTTCGACTCTGCATCTTCCATTTGGTCATTTGGCTCGTCTTCTTCCATCTTGTCCTGTTTTGGTAGCGCTCTGAAGGAGAACTTTTGGCAGAGCAACCGCCAAGCACTGTCGTCATTGACGAGCTCACGCCATTTCTTGGATACTTGCGATGCCCGAGCTAGAGTGGTAGGGTCATCTACACATTCGAGTATCTAAGTGAGGTTAGCCATAGATACCAACGTAACGGTACAAATCAGAACGCACTCTCAAACAGAGTTCAGTAGGCAGAACCATGAACGGGTCCTTCTTTAGTCTGGGACTGACAAACTCGGCAACAAAGCTCAACTCTTGGCTGTCGCACAGGTTGAGTAGCTCACCGAGCAGCCGCATGCGCTCTGCCCGGTTCATGTCGCCAAACTGTGCCCGTATGCTCTTGATGTCGCCATCCTCGTGTTCGGCGGCGGTACTCCAGTCCGGCACCCGCTGTGTTGGCGTAGGACTTGGCGCGGGTGTGGGCGGCGAGGCGGGCGCCGACGGCAGCAGATTGTGCGGAATCGTCGAGGAAAGCGGACTGGTAGGTGTGATTATGGGTCTGGGTGCTCCTGAGCGAGACATGCGACCTTTGCGCCCGTGGACGCTGGGTGAGGTGTACATGGCGGATCGCGAGGATGAGGCTGTTGCGCTGGCAGAGGCGGCCATGTCTGTGTCCGAGTCCTCGATGGGGACGCCGGCAGCGTCCTGGTCTTCTCGCACCGGCGTGAAGTAGTCGGGATCCATGGCGGAGTCGGTGGGTGCAGAGCAGACCTGGGCTGGTGTGGTCTGACGCTCCCTATGTAGTGCGGCAGTCGGGGTAGAAGGAGTGGGCGGCGGATTGGGAATGTCACGGAGCAGTGGATTAGCGGAGGGGATATGGGGTTCAAAAAGTCGACGGGATCCGGGCACACGAGGGTTCGAGAAGGGAAGAAGGTTTGCAGACGTTTGGGGTGGGTAGGCGCGACTGAGTGACGCCGGCGGTCAGCCAAGACATCACTGGCTCAGCCCTGGAAACCTCAGACCTCGCCCATTCCCATTTCAAGCTTCTGCTCACAATCCCTGCATGCGCACTTGGGGCGAAGGAGCCTAGTTTGCACACTTAATTCTCCTCCGCCGCACGCTGCCTGTCCGCTTGGATGCCATGCCTTGTGTATCCCAAAATTAGCCTGGTGTCTGCATGTCGTCAAACGCTCAGGGGATCATGCGGCGTCTCAAAAGCACCACATGGACTCTCAAGGCCTTTGCGAACGCCACTTTGCCCCCGTTCCCGAGCCCCGATCGACGAACGCAAAACAAACCCTCAATATTAATTCTCTGCTCGACCTTTGCAAGGGGCAGCCTGACACTGCCCTCGCTGTCCTGTCTGCCAAGTGCACCATGGCTGCGTTGTCCTGTTATTTCCATGTTGCACGTCTCCAAACACGCTGCAACACCACCCATTGGCACTACGGCGCTTAGAGCTATCCGCCTGTACCGGGTACCCCCAAGACATTCCTCCTCGAGTCCGCCCATCCCACACTGTATCCATTGTGGCCATGTCTTGTTATTTACCATGTTCATGAGGTAGCCGGGCACCTCCTTTTGCCCACCTGGTATGGTGCCCTGTCTGCCCGTGGACGGTGCACGGTTGTCACAGGCGAGCGGCTCCATGGAGCCTCTATCCATCGTCGGAGCTTAAGAGGTAACCGAGCCCGGGTGCTTCCCTACAATTTTACGTTCTGGCCATTGTAGACCCACCTGCCAGGTATTTTTGTACCTGAACTAGGTCCGTTTGCCGGACATTGCAAAAGGCCATTGTGCCCAAGGCCCAGCTGATCGGCCTTGAGATGTGCAGTTCATAGAGTAGACCGGACTTGGTAACTTGTTTTTCCCCAAGCCTTGTGCCGCAAAAGCATCATCAACATCTGTGACGGGGCGGTTGAGCACACCCTTTTTGAGATTGAGGGAAGATGCTAACTTAAGAATACGTCGTGTGTTTCAAAGAGCGAAGTCCAGCCGAGTATCAGGTTGGCGAGACAAAAAACACTGATGGCCACTGAGGCTCTAGAGTATTGCGCAGTAAGATGATGCCCTTCTTTATCTGGCAAAAAACCGAGGGCACGCGCAAAGGCACGATCGCGTTCCCAAAGAGGCTTGGCACGACGGGGGTCGCTCGAGGAAGCACGCCATCTTCTTGCGACGTCATTGGGTCCGGCATGGTCGCATTTCCATTACTTTCGCGCGTTGCTGTTTGTAATCCAGAGCCTAGCATCGTCATGGAACTTGTGTACTTCGCCTCTACCCTCGCATTACCTCTGTGCTCGACCTGCGAGCGCTGTGGGTAGCAGACAACAACCATGAGCGTCCCCCGCAATCTGCTTACTCGCGCGCGCCCATTGACATTCGCGTCGTCTACCCCACAATGTTTCGCACCGAGGTCAACCCACACGTCCCTAAGGTTTGCGAGACGGCAGTCGAATCAACCTGCGCGAAAGATTCATAATCAATATCCGCGCAAAGCCCAACAGGCCTCCTCTGCTCATGAAGTCGAATCGTCCAACCCCGCTCTCTCTTTTCCCTGTCTGGATGCCCACGAGTCGCGCTCTGCATCACTCTCGAGGAAACGGTCGTCGTCTGGCCCCGAGCCCTCGTATACATCCGGTCACACGCTCAACTTCCACTCCACACAGCCGATACTCCTTGACTGGGGTGGTATACTGCCAGAGTTCAACATTGCATACGAGACCTGGGGACAGCTGAACTCGAGCAAGAGTAATGCAATCTTACTCCATACCGGTCTTTCAGCATCCAGTCATGCCCATAGTACCGAGACGAACACGAAGCCAGGATGGTGGGAGAAATTCATTGGGCCAGGAAAGCCACTGGATACTGACAAGTACTTTGTCATTTGTACCAATGTAATTGGAGGTTGCTACGGCTCGACTGGTCCCTCGTCCATTGACCCTGCCAATGGGGAGCGCTACGCGACACGATTTCCGATTCTCACCATGGAAGACATGGTGCGCGCGCAGTTCCGACTGCTGGACAACCTAGGCATCCAAAAGTTGTATGCAAGTGTGGGTTCAAGCATGGGTGGCATGCAGAGCCTGGCTGCTGGGACTCTATTCCCCGAACGGGTGGGCCGTGTGGTTAGCATCAGCGGGTGTGCCCGCAGTCACCCCTACAGCATCGCCATGAGGCATACTCAACGACAAGGTCAGTGCATGGAGTCTGCTAGCCCTGTGAACACGAGTTAATGTTACGGCAGTGTTAATGATGGACCCAAATTGGGCTCGAGGGTTCTACTACGATGGCATTCCTCCACACGGCGGCATGAAGCTTGCTCGAGAAATCGCTACAGTTACCTATCGTAGTGGACCGGAATGGGAACAGCGGTTTGGCCGACGGCGCGCCGACCCTTCACGGCCCCCAGCATTATGCCCAGACTTTTTAATCGAAACGTATCTCGACCACGCGGGAGAAAAATGGTGCCTGGAATATGACCCCAACAGCTTGCTCTACGTCTCCAAAGCCATGGACCTCTTTGATCTCGGCCAAGAACATCGAAACCGCATCAACGAAGTGCGCAAGGCGAACAGCGGAAAGATACAAGCGTACCTGGATGGACAAGGTTTGGGCGGCGATGCCAATAGCGATGCCTGCAGCTTGACATTGCCCGATGAGCCGTACGAAGAGAAGGAGCAACCAGTCGAGCCGGAGTCACTGACGCAGACGGACGGCAACGAGCCTCCGGCAGATCTCGTGGCGGGTCTCAAGCCGCTGGCGAATACGCCAGTTCTGGTGCTGGGTGTTGCGAGTGACATTCTATTCCCTGCGTGGCAACAAAAGGAGATTGCAACTACGCTGAGACGTGCGGGCAACAAGAATGTGAGACATATTGAGCTGGGCGAGGAAAAGAGCTTGTTTGGTCACGACACGTTCTTGCTGGACCTGGAAAACGTTGGTGGTGCTGTTCAAGACTTCTTGGGCTGAGTGCAGTTTCTTCTCTGGTCGATTCTATGATTGTATTCTACTTGCATCGCAGGGCGTTGTCTTGCGGCGGTATCAAAAGTATATGTCGATGTACCGAATTTGAGATGGACTCGTTTGCATGGCTACTCATTCCGTCTCTTTGATGCTATGATTGATGGATCCTGTCTCTTTGTTACTTTGCGCGTGGTACTTCCTGGCTCACTTTCATCCCCCGCCACTCTGCACTCAAGGCCTCTGGGACCCACTTGCATTCCGTCACGCCAATGTGCTCGCGAACATAATCCTCCAGCATCCTGGCTCCAGGTGCGTCTGCATATACAGCCAGGGCACCAACGCGGGGGATATGCAGGCTGGAGGCAAGTCGGCTTTCTGCCGATGTGGGCAGAGGGACTAGGCGGGTTGCTGTCAGTGGGGCATCTGGCATAGCAGAGGGTGATGAGAGGGCGCTTAGATGAACCAAGGTAGGGAGATGGGCATGAGCTGGTGAGAGAGATGGTTTTGGGTGGGTGAGTATAACCATGCTCAGAGGCCGCAAGTCGTCGCCAGGGACATGCTGTTCGGCAGAAGCGACGAGTGTCGTCGAGGGCGCCGTCTTTGCTGCCAGGGCCTCGAGGTGACGGGTGACGCTGTTGAGGCCAATGAGTAGGTGGTTGCCTATGGGTGGTGGAGGCGGTGGGGTCTCGGTGGTGGAGTCATCTTGATCCGGTTTGGTGGTGGCGCGCTTTCGCTTCTTGCCTTTGGATGGGTGCATGTGGGTTCTACGGTAGTCGCCTAGCGGCGCGATGAGGCTGGTGGTGGTTCGTCAGTGACAGCGCAGGGGGGGAAAATTGTGCAGGCTGGCACTCAAGTGGTTTGCCTGCAGCACATTGCGTACCTACTTGGACAGCATTTCTAGGACGACCAGTTCATCGTCGTGCGATAGCTCTGGCCTGCGCCCGCTCAGCAATGCTCGTCAGTCAGTCAGTCGGGGATGCCCAAACCATTGAGTCTCTGTAAAAGGCGACGCCGTTTTGAAGACGGGCTTGGTGTTTTGTTTTGCAACGGGCGCCATGACTGGAGATGGGGGATGATTTTTTTTCCTGTTATTTTCTCGCAGCGTCCAAGGAGAGGTGGGCAGTGACCGAGTCGAAAACAAGGGACGATGTCACGGCTTGAAGGGCCCGAAGTGCGTCCGACAGCGACCAGCAATCGGGGTCGTCTGAGTGAAGGGCCCTGGTGGATTTGCGGGCGTGCCTGCATTAGAACAAGAAGGAGGATTTGTCCATGTTGGGCGGGCATGGGCTATCCTGGTCTCTGGCTAGTGGTGGGTTCACGCCAAGTGCGGGAGCCAATGACGATGGTGGGGCTGTTTGGCTGAGCTGCATTGCATCTTCCTGAGGGACCGAATTGGACAAGATACACATATCGCCTTTGCCTCTGCCTGCTGTGAATTCACCCCCACAATTCCACCGCCCATTTCGCCCAAAGGTTGCTGCTGCGGCCCATGACCATAGTCGCGCTGCATTTCCTTTGGCTGCGCGCGAGGACTCGGGCTAGCAAGGCTGGCCAGACTGCTACTGCTGCTGCTGCTGCTGTTGCTGCCTGCATCAGAGGAGCTCCTGCTTGCTCTCTCTGCCTGGCCACGCTTAGTTCTTCTGTCGCCACCAGTCGCACTTATCTTCCTTCACCGTCATGACCGCGCAGGACAATGACCTAGTGCAGTCTGTCGCTGTTGCTGCCGCTGCCGACGAGCCAGCAACAATCGCCCCCGCCTCGCGCCGTGATCCCATTGAAGACGCCGACGCGAGCTTCACCCGCAAACGCCCCCGCCTGCACGGGAGCAACAGTCTATGTGCCATGTCCACAGAGGCCCATACCCTGGACAACCACGTAGAGATGACCATACGCTCCCACCCGCCTTCTTCCCCGGTACGCGCTGGAGACGACCACAACCACAGCCATACAGGTGACGTCGCTGCCAGTCCTTCGCCTGCCCCGGTCCACTCGCCTATACTCATCCCTAGCTCCGATGACGAGGCTACCAGCCCTCCTATCATGGTTGTCAACGACGAGGACGAAGGCGACAACGATGAGGCAGTCGGCCTTGCCGTACACATGGACCCTGAGGACTACTTCCGCCGCTTTCCTTACTCTCATGTTGGTAGCTACACCAGTGTAGTCCGTGATCTGGCTCAGCATGTGCAAGACAGTGCGTTCTTTGCCAGGTCTACGTTTGGTGAGCCCTTCGTGCTAACAATCACCAGTCGATAATGATATTGATGCCGACTTCTTTCTGGGCCTTTCGCAATGGCTCGTCAACCTCCCCGACCCCTCGGTGGACGACATGCAAGGCTTTTTTGTGAGCAAAGCAGCATTTTGGGACGACTTTGGTCTTTTGGTGCACAAAGTCCTCTCTCGCAGAGTCTCGTTCACACGCCATGACCATGACCATGACCACCGGGTAGGCGACGCGTTTTACAGCTTCTTGAGCGCCTATGTCAGAACTTCTTCTTTTCTCCTACTCGTAGATGCCCTCCTAATCTCCCAGCCGCGGCCCGACGATATATATCCTTTGCCTTTGATCAGCCAGAAGCACCTTCGACATTTGCATACTATTCTTCGATCGGATAAAGCTCCAGCATACCACATGGTCAGCAAAGAGTATTCAGTAGACATTCGCAAGATGGTCTTGCGATTACAGCAGGACTTTATGG